TTCCAGCGTGCGCTGGAGAATAAGTCGCGCGAGGTCGGCCTGTGTACCGTTGTGGGCTTCGTGCCGACACCGTACTCCTCGGGGCGGAAGGCAAACGATCCCGGGCGTACGTCGGAGAAGATGATCCTCGAAGAGTCGGATACGGCGTGTTGATGACGAAGCTCAAAGCGCAGAGGAGCAGGCGGTTTATACGATGAGCTGTCCTTCGACCATAGGAAGGACGTTAGGAGGTATTGTAGTGTATTTGGAAGCAGATTCGGGAACATGTGTAACAGGCTAGCGAAGTACTGAGAGAGAGTGACCAAGGAGCTAACAGGCGATGGATAGAGTTGATTAGAGCAGCAAGACGGCCGTATCTTGTTCCACTGCGATGATATGAAGGAAGGGCCCGTACCAACGCGCAAGCGCCCATAACGGGCAACCAAGTATTGGAATTCACGTGCATAAGCCCGAAGTATACCCGGATGCCATCTCGGACACGCCTGCATCCTCCGGTCATGGTGGACCAGCCAGACCCCCCTGCAGCCTCCAGTTCGTCTCAGCTCGAACATAGCGAGCCCGTTTCCTCCCAATCTACACAACAACCAGAGGCTTCCCCCGTAATTGCTGTGAACGATAGGATTGAACTACTCGAGAAAGCTCGCACGTTCCTAAACTCACCGCAAGTCCGGCATGAGGATCACGCTGCGAAACGGAGGTTTCTGGCAGACAAGGGCCTCAATGAGCATGAGATATCTAGTTTGCTACAAGAACTGGTATGTTTCTTTGCCCTTGCCATGCTGTTCGACGTCGTGACCGCTGCGGACTTAGCCTCCACAAGCTCCGCTCGTCCCTCCGCGAACATACCCGCAACCGCCCCCGTCCAACCTTCCAGGCCTCCTACTCGGAGTAGCACGTATATTCAGCTGGGTAGCTGGGGGCTCTGCTGCGCTACTGGTCGTATACTTCGTGCGCTCATCCCTTCCTATGGTTGATAAACGCGCGTAACCTCGCGTTAGCGTTTCCTATACCCCAGAATGTCCCAGACATACCAAGCTCGGCATGCACTGAGGACACACCAAAAGGAGTTGCTTGGTAGACTGACAACCTCGCTCGAGATGCTCAAGGCTACACAGGCAGAGACCGCAGCCGTGCTTCCCCGTCTTGTTGTAGATGAAGAGGGCCAGTATCGGGAGTGTCATACTTTGGACGACGTGCTGAAGGCGAGTAACGAAAGTCAAGAAGCGCCTGGCGTCACGCTTCTCCGCTGCGCTATTGCAGACCTCTCTGATGACAAGAAGCCCACTACCGCTGAGGCCATCTTCCTTGTGCTGGAGGGTAAGTTTTCTTGGTTGAGAGATGATGCAGGATCTGTGCGACGCGTATGTTTCATCTGCCATCACATGGGAACTTTGCTGAGGCTTCGCTAGGAACGATTGTGGCAAACACTGACGGATAGCACACCCTTCCACGAAGAAACGATTGAAGGGACGTCTTCATGGACGTATACGCCTCCCAGTCCACCACCGCCACCACCAATCATGCAATCGCTCTGTGCACTCAAGTCTGCCTTACCAACCCGGACAGGGCAAGAGCCGAGTCGCTTCCAGCATACGTTGAATGCCCTCACCGACCTCACCGGTTACATTGCCACACGCACGTATGATGGCTTCCGGCGGGCCGTCGAACCAGGTGTTGCTCAAGGAGTGGAGGAGGAAGTGAAACGGGAGATACGTGCACTGAAAGGTCTTGTGTTGAATCGGTGCGTGTTTGCTCGCATGGCCTGCCGAAGTGGCTGACGAGACCTCTCGGCCAGACGCGCGTTTATGCCTAATGTGTCGCGAACGCCATCATACACGCCTGCTCCTCCCTTCAATCCCACCTCTGTCAATGTCTCTACCCAGTAATCCTTCGGCTTGTGATATAATAGTTGTACCGCAGATGCGGTCAAATGGAACAGGCAGCATCATGTCAAATCCATGTGAGGGAGAGTCAGTATGAACTTCACCTTGTTCTCTGAGTGCATTCAAAATGGTACATTGACAGATATCATTTGCCGAGGATGCAGACTCATGGCCAGCTTCGACGAGCGCGTGGAGGTCTTGTTTCGGGACTAACCTCACGGCGACTTTTACCCGTATGTTACCTAACTTCTGCCGTACTCGGAGACTTCAGTCAGCGCATACGCTGGATGCCGATGACTGATGACGATGCGCGGGGCTTGTCACTGGCTTATTAAGCCCATGGCTGCAACTACAACGCCGTCTGGTAAGTAAACCTCTCCGACCATGTCCTTCACAACACTTCTCGATATTACTTTCCTCCCGTCAACCAACGCCCCGGCAGTTGTGGCGTTACGCTCACTGGTCACCGTCGTTGGTACTGCAACCGTTTCTTACCAGGCTTTGCACCTCCTACAATCCTCTTGGTTCTACTTCCTCAGGCCATCATCAGTGCGCAAGTACTTACATGGTCCCGCACCGTACGCTATCGTCACAGGTGCGACAGACGGCATCGGCAAGGCGGTTGCACGCGAGCTCTACGCCAGGGGCTTCAACCTCATCATACATGGGCGCAACGAAGAGAAGATCCGCAAGGTCATTGATGAGATTAAGGCAGTTAGAGGAAACGGAGACATACGCTACTTCGTCGCCGACGCCCAAAAGGCCGGGCATGACTTTGCACAGCTGCTCGCACCCTTCGCAGACCTCAATATCACCCTCGTAATAAACAACGTAGGCGGTGCTTATATACGTGGCGCACGGTGAGTAGTCGCACATAGTATGAGTAATGGCTGCGGAAACTAACGGCACATTTTTCACAGGATTGATGGCTTCAGCGAGGCGGAGTTGATCGACACCATCTTTTGGAACGACGTCTTTCCCTTATTTCTCACCCGCGCTCTTCTCCCCCATCTGCGCGCCACCGCCCAGCGCGGGCCCGTCCTCGTGCAGTTCGTCGGTTCGCACGCCGCACTCGTGTCCCCCGCGACAATGTCCGCGTACGCTGCCACCAAGGGATTCCTCTCCGCGCTCAGCCGCGGACTCGACAACGATGAGCAGCTCTGGGGCACGCCAACTGGCGTCCGGTTCGAGTACATCTCCGTCGGGGGCGTCTCCACCGCGGGCAACCCGGCGGACGTTGACTTCATGACGCCGACTTCTACGGTGTTTGCGAAGTCGTTGGTGGATAAGATTGGCTGTGGAAAGAGGTTTTATACGCCGTCGCTTCCGCATGCGATCGCAAAATGGGTGTCGTTGCTGCTACCGGAGAAGATTGTTGACTCAGTTGCTGTAGACATGATCAAGAAGACGCACGAGGCCCAAAAGAGGCGTCAGTAGCTCTCATACTGTACAGGACTAGTTGATAACTCGGACCATTGATGGAGGGGGTACGCGACATTCGGTGGCTGATCATGATGTAACTGCAAGACTACATATGCATTTGACATTTCTGCCATGTTCGAAATCATGCCTTCGCTTCTGGTCTATGCACCGGTATGAAGACCCTTTCTTCCGAGTCAGTCATGATCCGCGACAACAGCCTAAGCTCTTATAACTGGCTCATTTGCTGCCGTTACTTGCTGCTGTTTAGGTTGCGTCAAAGATGGAAGTTGGGTTACCCGTTACGATGCTATGGCGGAGTCGACGTGTGACGGTCTTCGTGCCTAGTAGCTACCAGTGTTTACTGCATTGAAGGGCCCATCCCAGTGCGTCTCGCAACCCAACCATGTCCTCGGCGCCCGGCAACGTCTTTGACTTCATCCCGGTACCTCGGATTCCTGTTCTCAGCGCCGTCTGTGGACTGTACGCAGCGTACCAAGCACGCCGGCTGCTCGACTTCGTCTGGTTCTACTGTCTACGGCCCTCCAGCGTCCACCGCTACATCCACGGCCCTCCCGCGTACGCACTTGTCACAGGTGCATCGGATGGCATCGGGAAATCTGTAGCACGCGAACTCTATGACAATGGTTTCAACCTCGTGCTTCACGGCCGTAACGAGGAAAAGCTTCGCGAGGTCGCGGACGAGATTCGCGCGCGGGGCACCCGCGACGTCCAGTACTTCATTGCGGACGCATCTAACCCAAACCATGATTTCGAGGAGCTCACGAAACCATTCTGCGAGCTCAATATCACGGTAGTGTTGCACAACGTCGGAGGGTCTGACATCGCTGAGGACGGGTGCGCCTCATCTGTTGCTCACTAGACTCGCGTCCCTGCTAACTGCCTCTACCCCCACCATAGTATCGACAGCTTCACAGACACGAGCCTCGCCGGGATCGTGCACCAAAACGCAATGTTCCCCCTCCTCCTCACACGCGCCCTCCTCCCCCAACTGCGCGCCTCCGCGCGGCACGGCCCCGTCATCGCGCAGTTCGTCGGCTCCGTCACCGCAGATATCACGCCGCCGCGCCTCGTCGCGTACTCCGCCTCGAAGGCATTCGTCCGTGCGCTCTCGCGCGCCCTCGACAACGACGAGCAGCTCTGGGACGCGCCCTCCGGCGTCCGCTTCGCGTGCATCACCGTCGGTGAGGTTCAGTCCAACAGCCACAAGGCCCGCGCGTCCCTCGTGTGCCCCACCGCGGACCGCTTCGCGAGGGCGGTCGTGGCCAGGATTGGGTGCGGGCGGAGACTGTATACTCCTTGGATGCCGCATGCCATGCTCAATTGGGTGACGGGGCTCTTGCCTGAGCACATACTTAACAAGACTGTTGCCGAAGCTATGCACAAAACCATGGTAAAGGCGAAGCATGTGTGATACACCGGATTGGGTTCCCTACTATTAGTAGCTCCTCTACCTGGCCCAGCGCCCAAGTACTACAGCATGTAACCGTTGACAATTGTGTAGTGTTTCATAGGTGGGACATAATACCGTTTGTCTATCTGTCACCAAGTAAGTATGCCCTTGTCGGTTGTGCCTGCTAGTACGAGCCAAGGCTGGTCAAGAACGTACATCTCTACCATTGCGTCGTAGACAAAAAGTTAACGCACATTCATTGACGCATAAAAATTGAAACCAGCCTCTCTGGCGGGGAGTCGAACCCCGCTTTCGCGCGCTCATGTGCCAAGTGCATATACACATATGACAGGCGCGTGTACTAACCGATATACTACCAGAGACTTGTTGAAAGGTACATGTCCTGAAGCACATACTTACATGAGCCAACTCCAACCGACTCGGAACTGATAGCAATACAACAGTGATTGTCATACTCAGTACAAGGTCAGATATACAGGAACCGGCTGGTGGTGACCAGACACCAGACTGATGACGTGGTAAGTGAGCAGGGAACATTGCGACAGATGTGTGCTATGCAAATATGTGTTGATGATGAGCCAGGACAAACGACATGATAAGGAGAAACACGGAATGGATCACGGTAAAGAACGCACAGATCACGTAGTATGAGACGTCAGAAGCAAGGATATAAAAATTGTAACAACATGTAGATGCGAGCAAGTGGCAGGGGGATGGCAAGCTCGGAGGTGCGAAGGTGTACGTATGGAAGCAGTGCGGGGTGCGTTCTAATTTCGAGGCGGGCAGCGTTATTTTGGCAACGTCGTAGTCGTAACATGAGTGTGACGGCGAAGGTAGAGCGAAGTCTCGTCCCACAGAGTGGGGTGCGAAGCACGGGGTACGGGGGCGCGGATGCCGAGGTGAGAACAGTGGGAGACGTCGGGTCAGCACGAGCGCAGCAATGCCTGCGCACGGCTCGCATACGCCTTATCGACGAGAAGGTTAGCGGTCTTGTAGGTCGAGTTGTACATGTGGTTGATCCCATTGTCTTCTAGTGTACGGGAGAAGCGGTTGACGAGACCATGCTTATCTAGAGTTCGCGCAAAAGCGGTCAATGTTTTACCCACAGGCCGACAGTACTACGAAACTCACCCAAACCGAACTTGCGTAGATCGATCTGCAGGCATCTCAGGGGACCCTGAGGCGCTGCACTGTCCTCATCGCGTGCGTCCTCGTCGTCGCCTGCCGGGGACGCTTGCCTCGAGTCGAGAATATCCAGCTCGTCGCTGCATATCACCATGTCCCGCTCATGCGGCGGGAAGAGCGCTGCGAGCAATGAGACCGGTGCAGTGAGTGACGAACCCTCGCTCGTGCGAGTGAACGAGAAGAATGGGACGATTGGGCTCCTAAGTGAGGCCGCTGAAGATGACGACGATGACGAGCTCGACACTGAGCGAGCTCGCCCCTGCGTCGATCGCTGCGAAGGGTGTACGGTATCGGCGGTGTCATTGTGCGGGAGGGTCGGTCGCGCTCCTGTTTCCTCTGCAAGGTCCTCTGTTTGCTGAGTCGGCGAGAGGTACTCGTCGTCGCTGGTGTCTGCGTCGCCGCTCGGGTCCTCGTCCCAGGGCATACTCTGATCTGCGTGTTCATACGTCGCGAGCTCGCCATCGCCCTTATCCGAGCCTGCGCCAACGCGAGTAGTCGTGTCACTTCCACTCCCCGTACCTTGCTCCATCCGGCGCACCGCGCCTGCGATGATCTTCGAAATATCCACCACCTCAGCTTCCAGCGGAGACGGGGGCAGGCTCGATTCTGCGGACGCACTGGATGAGCGTGAATGTGAGGAAGCCACGCCCGAAATAAGGTCCGGGTAAGCGACGAGCTTGACAATCTTCAGGCCCCACGTCTCTGCATGCTCGTCGGACAGACCGACGTAAGTCAAATCTGGTGCAAGCACGCTCACCTCGCACGACGATGGGGAATGCGACTGCGAACGGCTTATCATCGGGCGTAGGGCAGAGTCAGGGGCAGGAGTCCTCATCGATACATCATCCGTATCCGTTTTTGCTTCGTCACTGGCTAGTGCGGGCGCTGCGAGGGTGATCGGTGATATAGGTGAGGAAATCGGCGAGGGCGAGAAGTCGTGGGGGCTAGACATCTGCAAGATAGAAGATTTATGACTGCTTGAAGAACTAGTAGTCGCATCCGTGCTGCTCCGCGAGCGCGTGAACACTGCCCCTCCTCCTGTGTCCACTACTCGCATACTGCTCGATGGGAGAACAACGGAATTAAGGTCGAGTAGCGAAACAGAAGTGTCATCTTGTGTCGGCGACAACAACGGGGATGTGAATGTCGATAGCTGTGCCGTGAGGTTGCTTGGATTGTCTGAGTAGAGATCAAAGCCAGCCGTCGCGAGCAGGGACATGACCTGGGATAGGCGAGCGGATTTTACCTAATAGAAGTCGTTGAGCACGCATGTCGTCATAGCTGATAGGCACAGAAAAGACGCAGAGCAGTAAATGAACGCCGGCGTACATCAAGCCGGCTATAACGGAGAAGGGAGACGGGGAGCCGAATGCGATAAGAATGGAGGTATGCAAGCGAGTATGTGTTGCAATTGCGATGGCAGTGCCAGAAGATTGCAGGGCACTCACGAAGATGAAGTCGCTCGTGTACGAGGACTGGTAGAGGATGGATATCCCTGCCGCAGCGAGAGGTGCTGAAAGTTCCCGGACCCGCGCGCCGGAGTTGTCTACTTCAAGAAATCGAAATGAGTTCAGGTTGTGGGGCATTTCGTAACGTCAAAGTTTGGACGCACCAAGTGAGTCAGAATGTGAGTCAATCTGGAGAACGCTCCACCGGTCGGACGAGACCTCGATAGGTTCCCAGTCCTGCCTGCGACGTCTCTTCCGTGTCCTCCGACTAGGCTGTCCAGCATTCTGCGCGTCTTGTCTTCTGCGAAGTCTGCGCGAGTCCTTGTGTGCTATCTTCTCAAACTCCTGGAGAGCATGGCCCTCGGCAAATAAGCTGAGTTCGATCTCATTGCAGGTGATATTGAGGAAGCCAGGGTTCGGTCTGAGAATTTGACGGAGAACGTGCTGGGTGAGGGTATCTAGTCGTGAGCGGGGCACATGGACGAGGGCGAGAGAGACGGGGAGGAGAGAGATGGTGACGCTGTCGCTCATGAGAGGCGGAGGAAGGCGGTGGTGGAAGGAAAGAGGAGAGAGATGCAGGGGCTACGGCCGGCATTATAGCAAGCCGAGTCGTGATGGCGCAAAGGGAGGCGAGGGGCGTCTGTGCGAGGTGAAGAACCCGCGATGACTCTGATCTGCAGATTCAACCACTATACTTGGCCTCTGATTGCCGCCCATCCTCCTCCTCCGCCGCGCCGGCGATCGGCCCGCTGCTTCGGGCTCTACCTCCTAGACTGCCATCAAACGAGTCCATCTGGCAGCGTGCTCTCCTTATTCATTGTCCAACTCAACTCGGAAGGCAACGCGCCATCTTCTAAGGCCTCCTGACCCTGGTAGGCCCGCGCTGGGCCTATCGACTGTCCTGTTCCTTAGGAAGACCTACGCGCTCCCAAGTCTTTCCATTCGTCTTTCTTTTCCACACTCTCCGGCTCACGCTGGACAACTGGCCATGACGCACTCTCCATCGCACGTTCACAACGAAAGCCTCTCAGGGACACCCGCGCGGCGTAGTGCTTTCCCAGCAATGGTCCTTCATCGTCTTCTCATTCCGCACACCTTGGATGAGAGCAGTTCGTCGTCTCTTTCCCAGACATTGCCAACTATCAGCGGTTCAGTACCGTACCACACGAACAGCGCATGCCCTGTCAACAGCTCCATTCTATTGCGTTGCGTAAACACGCTGCGTAGAGACAGCACTTCGTCATTCTTGATGAAAATTGCCTCCGTTTCCCCACCAGAGTTCCATCGAAGCAAACCTAGGCCTCACGCTTAAGTAGTCGTGCCTCCACCAGCCTAGAACTTTTCAAGGCACAGTGAACTGGTAAGTAGTCCGTGCCGCGGATAGTGAATCTCGTAGGCCTTGCACCGCGCCCTGCAGTGTATTCATTCAGGGTGGCAAGTTATGGGCGGTACTTAGTGCAGCAAACATGACCGCCACAAAGGCCAGTACCCGGTTTCTCATGGAAGCTCTCTGGCAGTTACGGCATGCCCCCACGACCCTTCGTCATCCAGATAGCAATTTTGTCCCGCACCAGCGCCAGCCACGTTGTACGCCCCCCTTCTGCCATTCACTCCGTCACCTCCGCTACTCCCGCCCGCAGACACCCGCAGTCGTTCTACCCCCAAGCATGGCCATCACGTTCCCTGCGTGTGCGCCCTGTGTACTCTGCCTGCAGGCATAGGGCCGACGGAACCTACGAGTGAGGCTCCGTCCCTGCGTCCCCCAGTCGCCAAGGTGGGATGCTGACACGAGTCCGGGGTGCAGACTCGAGTCCGAGGTTCAGATGGATGCTGGCCAGAAGCCTTCATCATCTGAACTCAGTCACTCTCTTCCTAAATCCGTTCAATTGGTCCGTGACTTCTGGGAGTGACATCCTTCGATCACCCTGTCCACACAAACTGTGCTCCAGTTGCTCAGACAGAAGTACGTCTGCCCATTGCACCCAAGCCGTCTCATCCTGCTTAGGTTTAGCGCAGTCCAGATCGCTACTCGACCTGATCCACGCTACCCACGCATGCGAGGAAATGCCAACACCATGATGATATTTCCCCCCAACCAGTAACTGCTCGCACTCGCAGGCTCGCGGCGCGAGCTCGAAGCTACTCTCAGAGCAAAGCCACGCTAAGAGTGTACTAGCGTCAAGCAGCCCGAAGCCGGCGGCGCCCCGCAGAAGACGCACTGGCGACTCACGCGGCAGGGTCCAGCGCGTGCGATAGGCTTTTCGCTGCGGTGCGTGTGTATGTGAGTGCGCGTGTTGACGAGAGATCACATGCAAACGTTCGATAGCGGTGCACTCACACCCAACGGTGCGTCCGTGGCTCTGGAGTACATGCATGTGCCAGTTGCATTCTACGTCGAGGCTGTTTAGCAGGTACGCAACGTGAACGATTCTGCATATCCTCTTTAGTGACGCCAACTGCCTTCCTCTGACATTCCCATGTACAGGCATTGACAGTGATGAGGGTCGTTTAGCGTACAGCATCCTGTCAGCTGCCAACGATCCGCCTCGAGAACAGCGCTTCAGAAGTACTGCAGCGCCGCTGCCCCGGCCCACCTGGCATCTCAACTTCGCCTTTGACATGTCGCCCCTATTCAGTAAAGCATTTGAGTTGCGGTACGTGGTTTCTATCGGGGAATGAGTGTACATTGTGCGGCCTTTCAATCAACTGATACAATCGTGATGATGGCG